ATTCTCCATCCAACTGTCCTAATGCTGCCCCCTGGAGGTGAGTAGAAGAAGTTTAATCCCCTCAAAGACAGATAACATCATCCTCCCAGACCCAAGTTTTTTCTTCTCAAAACAAAACAAGCCTACTTCCTTGTTCTCATACAGCATGAACTCAAGGCCCTATGCCATCCTAGATGCTCTCTTCTGCATGCTCATCAGCTCATACATTCCTTTCTTCAAATGTTCAATGAGAATTGAATACATGATGGAGTGGGGAAAAGGTCACTGGATTTGTAGTCAAAGAACTTGAGTCCAAATCTCAGCTCCAAACTTTATTTTTATATGACCTTGGACAAGTCATTTAACCCCTTGCCTTCATCAATAAGATGATGGGGTTGGACTAAATAACTTCCAAGGTCAATCAATCAACAAGCATTTATTAAGCATCAGCTATGTTCTAGTTTCCTTCTAGCTCTAAATTTATAACCCTATAACCCACTGTAGATGTAGTTTGACCAGGGCCACATCTGTCAGAACTTTCCCCCCAATATTGCTGCATGTCGCTACCCTCTTCATCCCACCTAAGATCCCACTGGTTTCTTATTTACCCTATTACACTGTTGATTCAAATTGAACTTGCAGTTCACTAATACCCCCAGATCTTTTTTTTTTCCTTTCCCTTTTCTAAACATAAACTGATCTCCAATGGTAGATAAATCTGAGTGGCTCTATCCCATACAGAAGTGACCACAGTGACATGATCTAATTTCAATTAGTGACCCAGGATTCTGAAACCTTTCTTAATTACACTTTATTTCCATCCACTCTTTCTTCAGGAACATACTGATATAGAGAGAAAGTAACGACAATTGTACATGGCAGACAACCCTATGAACATGTAGTCTTTGGTTTTTGTCCCTGTTTCGCCTCCCCCTGTACTTTACAGGGTGTGTCAAAATTTGCTCTGCTCCCACAAGTCTAGATTTCCAGACACAAAGGAGGAAGCAAGTGCTCAGAGAGGCCCAAGGCTGCTCTGTTCTGCAGCCCAGCATTTTAAGGAGGCCTTCACTTTGCTATTTACTTTACAGTTCATCAAATGCCGGTAATTCCCATGGCAACCTTTGCAATTTATTCTCTATAAGCTACATTTAACACAAACATGTTCTTAAAGAAACATCCATCTATCATCCTGGAATGTTTGGTTCACCAGATTTCTTTTTCACTGTGTTTAAGGATATTTAATATTTCCAAAACTAGTAATTTTTGAAGAGATTTTTTTTATTTTATAGCACATTTTCAACTCTCTCCCCGCCCCTACACTCTCAATGTTTTAAATAAGTGGGAAAGCAGATAGGTCACAATCTTTATTGCCAGAGAGAAAACCCAAACGGATGCAATCTCAAACCAATTGATCTATGAAGTATGGGGAAAGATAAAGAAAGAACTAGTGTATTGCCTTTTGGAATGGCTACAAACACAAAGGAAAAATCAGAAGTACCTAAGTCTCTGTCCTTCGAGTCATAGGGGTAACATTCCCTCCCCAGACTCTTGAGAAATTCCTCAATGAAGGCATTTTCTTTCCACTTTGAGTACAGCAGAATCAGACTACAGAACCCTCTGGGATTGTAAGGACCTTATTCATTTACTATTATTCAGTCTATCAAATACATAATCATAGAAATAAGCTAAGGAAGTTTCCCCAATAATAGGGATTCAAGACAGCTTAGGTTAACTAGAAGGAATGCTCTATAGTATGAAAAGGAAAGGTAGCCAAGGGAAAAGAGCACACAATGAACGCAAAAAAAAAAAGAATTGGTGAAACATTTAAGTGCTTAGTACATGCAAGCACCACTTTTAAATTTAAGTTTTTATGCTATTTTTGCTTTTACATTATCCAGGTTTTACATTACCCTGTACCCCTCCTTTTCCCTTTCTAGATAGCCATCCTATATAACAAATGCTTTTTTTTTTAAAGAGAAAGAGATGGAAGAGAAAGAAATTTTAAAAAAAATCTATGAATGCATTATATGTATGTGTGTGTGTGTGTATATATATACATATATTTATATATATGTATATATATGTATATATGTGTATATATATATATATATATATATATATATATATATATATATATATGCAAATATGTGTGTGTATCTATGTATGTATCGACACCCCCACCTCTACAAACAAGAAAGAGGAATTGTCTTCTTATATCTCATCTTTGGATGGGGCCAAGTTTGGTCTTTGTAAATTTTGCCACTTGGATTTTCAGTTATTTTGTGGTGGCTGTTTTCTTATCCATCATTGTAGGCCAGGTGTCTATTGTTTTACTGGCTCTGCTTCCTTCATTCTGCATCCATTCACAAGGTCTTTCCATGCTTCTCTAGATTTATCATTTATTATGCCTTCTGATACAGCATATTCTATTACATTTATGTACCATAGTTTGCTTAGCCACTCACCAATCAATGGCTAATGCTTACTTTTAAATATATTTTTGTGATTCTCCACTGACTGTTTGCTTTTGTTTAGTTTGTGAAGACACTAGAAAAACTGGGTTGCTGGTACAAATCCTAGTATGTTTGAGGTCTTGATGTTGCAATGTGGGAATTGGATAGTGATAAGAACTTTGATCTTAGAGTGTGAAGAGACCTGTGTCAAAACCCACCTCTGCTGTTTCCTAACTCTGTGACTATAAACATGCCACTTAGCTTGTATTAGCTTTTCTTTTCTCGTTTACAAAATGTGTCTAATAATGCTGGTAGAACTTTGGATGGATCAGATATTCAGAATCAGAAGAGCCCTCAGAAACTATCTAATTCAACCCCTTCATTTTGTAAATGAGGAAACTGAGACCCAGAAAGCTATATAAGTAGCAAGGATCAGAGGTGGGATTTGAACCCAGATCTTCTCATGATAGAACCAGTCTTCTTTCCACCATACCAGGCAACATCTGTCATATGGTCCAAAAGAAAAACTAAATCAGGATTGCTTTTGTTTTCGTACTGAGGGTATGAATGATATTTGCTCCAAAATTTTTACCTTCTACCGTATTGCCTACCCCTCTTACCTCTGCTCCTTACTCTCTGTGTGACTTTGCACAAGTCACTCGGCCTCCTTGGATCTCTGTTTCCTCATTTGTAAAATGAAGAATTGAACTAAATAGCCTCTGTGGTCCCTTCCAGGTTCGTCTTGATAATGGCATGACCTTCTGAACAAATCTGTCTTCTGAATATATTCAGGATAAAATGAGAACAGCTATGAAAAGTGTTTTCTATTCTTGGAAGAACTACGTAAACGTTATTGTTGTTCAGTTGTTTCAGTTGTGTCTAACCCTTCCAGACCCCATTTGAGGTTTTCTTGGTAAAGATACTGGAGTGGTTTACTAATTTCATTTTCAGCTCATTTTACAGATGAAGAAACTGAGGCAGACAGAAGTTAAGTTACTTGCCCAGGGTCACATGGCTGTTTGAGTCCAGATTTGAATTTAGGTCTTCATGACTCTAGGCCCGATGTTCTATCCACTGCAACAGCCAGCTGGCCCTATTAATGTCAGTGTTATCCAAAAGGTATCTTGAGAAGTAGGATGTCATTAAAGGCTAGTGAACTGACTTCAGAGCCAAGAAGACCTGGGTTAATGTTCTGCCTTTGACACACACTCAACATGTGACCCTGGACAAACGTTGTGTGCTCTAGGCTCTATGATAATAAGTTGCAGAGAACATGCTAATCTGCATTGACAAAGGGAGTTTTCTTCTCTGGGAGCTCTGCATCCATTCATAAAACCTATTCTTTCTAATAAAAATGACTCATCCTGTCCCTCTAAAAGTGTGATCAATAAGTTTTGTATTGTATGGTGTTAAAAGTATATCAACTGTTTTCACTTATTCATCCAAAAGTAATATTTATTTCCTCCTGTTTTAAACTTTCCCCAAGATATCTCTCAGAAAAGCTGTAACCAAAAGTGTTCAACAGTAGCCTTTGGCCACCAGAAGAATGGAAGCTCCTTGGGGACAGACACTGTTTTGTTTCTTGTCTTTGTGTCCCCAGTGCTCACGTCAGTGCTTGGTACAGAGCAGTTGTGCAGAAAACATTTGTTGAATTAAATTGGTGGGGATTTGCTAGCTAATTAAACTGTTGATATCTCTGTAACTAATCCAGATATATGACACTGATCATTGATATAAGGAGAAACAAATCCATGCTTATAGAGTAGGGCTTACCTTTCTCACTGACTTCTCACTGTATCATCTTCCTTCCCTCACCTAACTGTAAAGCTTTCCTTTTTTTTTTTTTTTTGTGGTTGGACCAGGTGACCAATTCTTCAAATATTTCCTTCCCAGCTCATTATGCCTTATTCCCATTAAATGGTAATGTTTGTATAATTTCTGGGGTACAGGAATAAGACTACTGACTCTACACTCCTGGTGCCATAGATCCTAGGCTCCTAGATTCAAAGCCAGGGGACACTTTCTTGGCCATTTAGAGTAGTCCACTCATTTCATGGTGAAGGAAACCAAATCCTCCGTGAGTCTGTTTCCTCAAGTATAAAATGAGGGCAGTGAATTACACGACCTCTGTAGTTCCTTCTGGATTTAGCTCTATGATGTTATGACCTTCCAAACAAAGCTGTCTTCTAAATATTTTAAATCTGGATCCAGGAAAATGAAACTTCAATATTGGGACTGGTGCTTATATCCCACTGGTAAAGCCAATCCTCTTCTCCCGGTGCACTGCGTTGCCAATCTGCTGGCTGTATACTCAACCTAACTTAACACAAGTCTGGTCACAACAACAACTGTCTGTTGTTATGAGTGTGCTTTGGGTACAAGGTAGAATTGATCAACATCTTTGTTTTTTCTATAGTGACTTTGGTTTCATTCTGTTATTTTTCTGGGATTTTTTTAAAATTCTCATTGCACAATCTGGAAATTATAGAGAAATCAGTTTTCACCTTTCCAATGAATCTATTGTGTAATGATGGCTTTCTTCTTCTTCTTTTGTTCTTTATTTTTCAGCTTCCCCAGGCACAAAAGGTAAACTATTTTCAATCAAGTCTTAACCATTCCAAGAAAATGCAAGTCGCGCATGTCTTCACGGTGTTGTGACTTTGGCACCATTCATTACCAGTGAAATGGTCCCCTCAGGACAAGCTCAGTCACCTGGATGTGGGTCCAAACAGTCATGGCTGAGAGAGCCCTCTGAACTTTGGGTGCTGCTGATTCAATTGTCCCAAAGAAAAGAGCAGCTTTGGAACCCATTCAGGCCATGGCCAGGGGTCATAAACATTCTATGACCCTAGTCCTAAACTCAGAAGCACAGCTAGCCCAACTTGGCATTCCATGCATTCCCTAGAATCCATTCCAGGACAACTAATTTGATATGAATAATTATCAACCCCTTGCTTGGAAATTAAATTCTGTGTAGATAAGCCAAAGACATTGCTTGATTTTTGATAATTGCAAAATAATGATTTCCATTTTTTTTGTTCCCCACTTTCTGGTCTATAGTCCCAGCAAGGGTAATCATTTCACCAATGGCTAGACCCTTTCACTGGTTTTCATTATCTGTCTGTCAAAAGTCTTTGCAAATACCATCAGATGTGTTTTCTGTTTCAAACTATGTCATGCAATCCAGCTTTCGCCTTGCTATGGTTCTGTAACCAAAACCTCTGTGGCATGTTGTGATATCGTGCTGGTTTTGGCAAAGAGATCATATCATCTGATGCCTGTTGCAACATCCTTATGTAATTCACAAATATAATTGGGACTTCTGTGAGAGGCCTCAATGTCTTGTGGCAGGAGGCAGCATGAGTAATGTAGTGGATGGAGGCTTGGGCTTAGAGTCTGAAAGACCTGGGTTCAAGTTCTGCCTTTGACACATAACAGCTTTGTGACTCAGGGCATTTGCCACTTTACCTCTGTGACCAATTAACTCCCCAGGACTAGAAATTCAGGAAGATTTCTGCATTGGTGGAGGGGATTTCCACATTGATGAAACCATAAGTATCAACCAGAATTGAGAAAAAAAAATAAGAGGCAGATTCTATATACTTGCTGATTTCAATGTGGGAGCCATCCTGGAACTTAAGCAGCTCTCCCAAACAGGATTCCTAATTTGGAATGAAGAGATGATGAATCTGTTCCTTCTCATTGAGAGATTGAGGAGGACTACTCCAACAACAAACAGTCTGTTCAGAACATATGCCCCACCAGAGGCCCAGAAATCATTACACAGTTACTCAACTCTATTATGGATATTTAAACAAGGCAAAAAATGCATTAGTTTGTAACTTGGCCGGTTGTGATATTTGATTATACGCCAATGTCATCACCAAAGGACTGAATATTTGGTGCAGCTTTCCTGAACGTAGGCTTGGAACTGATTTATTAAAGGAGAAAGACAATTTTCAGAATTCAGCACCTATGAGACAGCCAAATTCCTTGCTGAAACTACCTTGTGTTTACTGCTTAAACTTACACATTTTCTTTCATTAGGCTGAAGAAAGAGTTGGTACACAATGGTAATTTGGGCACCCATTTTCTACTCAGCAATTAACTGCATTGAGAAAAAATCTCATCAGGTTCCTCAGCCTCTCCGTCTTACCAGGCAATGCTAGGCAAGGTCCTAGCATCTGTTTCTGCACCTCTGCTCTAACAAGGACTGCTTTGTGCTTCCATGGAATATCACACTACCCCATTGCTTAGCCTTTGATCAAAATAAATCTAGATATTTTGTTTGTTTTTATTATTTTGTTTTTAATATAAAGTTCTATGTTAAAAGGTTCTTCACCTCTCCATTTTCAGGGTAATTTTACACTATGTTAAGTTACATGGTCACTGATGATCTCAGTTGATAGCGAATGTTTCCTCATTGAAAGCTCCTGAAATTGATGAAATCAAAGGTCGAAGCCAAACTAATGAATGAATGATTGCATAAATAAATGAATAACTAAATACCTAAATGAATAAATTTATTGACATTTTATGTGGGTTTCCTGGATAAAATCAAATTATTGGGTTTTAGATTAAAAGAAAACTATGGCCTCCACTCAAAAGTACTAGTAAAATCAAAATTCTTGGTGGCCACTTCAGCTGTCAGCTGCAGCCCACAAAGTCCTAATCTCCCTGATCCTGTAAGCAAGAAAAAGGTCTTTAATTTTCAGTCATATTCCTTGCATTCCAAAAGCTTGACTACAGGGCTCGTTGTGGGTCCTTTGCCACTAAAACTGTTTCCTGTACTCTCTCTCAGGTGGTTGTATCTTGATTTAAACTCCAGCTCACACACCACATCCAGAGATTCAGGCTTTGGAAGTGAAATGGACATGGTACCCTAGACGTGGAAGCTGCTCAGTCACTTTTTTTCCACCTGAGAGTCCTAAAGCACTCGATAAAATCTGGCTTCTTGAATTCACTCAGAGTTTACTTATAGAATGCCATTCAATGGGGCTTCAGCTTTCAATAAAGAAAGGCCTTCCAAGGGTCATGAGTTGGAGAGGAGTCTTTGTAATGATTCTGGCATGAATAAAAGATGCCATTTGCCCATGAACTGCTTTGTAGTGAGCACCATAGAGGAACATCGTTGCTCCTTGGGTGAGGGGAAGGGATCCAGGGAAGCTGCATCTCAAGGCTTCACTTAGACATTAGGTCATTAAAGCAGACACTTGGCCATATGGTGTCTGAAATTGTGACTGTTTTGGTTGGACTCCCTCTTTGTATCATTTGAAAGGGTTTTCTCTATAAATATTTCTCATCCCTCTGTCTCTGTAAACAGGCTTATTTTAATCTGTTGGCTGATCTACCATTAGATATGTAACATTTAAATCTATCCTCTATACAAGGCAACCATTTAAAGCTCTTATTTATGAATTAAGTTTGTGCTCTGAATAATTGGAAGAAATTCCAAAGGCATGCTTGAGACTTTCCAACTGTTCTAAATAAGGAGCTTAGTTTTTTTCAGAGGCTCTGAGACCCTTCTACCTCATCTCTCCAATTTGAAAATCTTAGGCCTTGGGGCTGCTAGATGGTGCAGTGGAGAGAGTACCAGCCCTGGAGTCAGGAGGACCTGGGTCCAAATCTGGCCTCAGATACTTGACACTCACTGTGTGACCCTGGGCAAGTCACTTAACTCCATTGCCTCACCAAAAAAAAAAAAAAATCTAGGCCCTTAGTGCCTTGTAGAAGTAGTGCCTGGAGGTCACAGGCCAGGTAAAAACCAGAAGTTTCAGTGGTAGCCAGGCTTCCTTTCTAGGAATTCCTAGCGACATATCATGGAATTTTAAATGTTACAAAGTATGAGTTGAGAACCATTTTTTTTTCTTGCAGGAACACACACATATGAGGAGCTAGGTGGTACAGTAGGTAGAGTGCTGTCCCTGAAGTCAGGAGGAGCTAAGTTCAAATCTGGCCTCAGACACTTACCAGCTGTCTGACCTTAGGCAAGTCATTTGACCCTGTTTGCCTCAGTTTCCTTGTCTGTAAAATAAGCTAGAGAAGGAAATGGCAAACCACTTCAGTGTCTTTTCCAAGAAAACTGCAAATGAGTTCATGTAGAGTTGGATACAAAAACAAAAACATGTAGAGTTGGAAACAAAAACAATAACAATACACACATATAAACACAACCCTTGGTAAACAACTTTGTGGAAATTGCAACTTTTTCTGCAATGGATGGCATACTCTTAGATTCAAAACTAAAGTCAGGAAAGCATATGTGTGTGAGTCTTGGAAAATTTCCCTGCTAAATGTCATTGCTCATGTCCCCATAATGCCCTCAGAGAGAATAATGAATATCTTCCCCAACCCTTTGGCTACCACTGAAATTGTCCCAAAGATGCTGCTTATGACCTGAGGAGAATGGGCTCACATCCCAATTTAATTACAAAAAGCACATACCCAATAGTCCACAGGTCATTAAAACATACAAAACTAATAACTCCAGGAGGGCAACTTGTCCTGGGAGCATTTCTATTGGACTGCCATTGAAGAGAATGACATCATTAATCTCACAGAAAGATTACTTGTCTATCATGCTGTAAGGTTTCTAAAGCCCTTTACATGCATCTCATTGTAGACTCCCCAAACCTTGTGATATAGGTATATTTGTACCCATTTTTAGATAAGGAATTATTCTCAGAGAGTTTACGTGATTTACCTGGGGTGATAGAGCTGGGAAATGTCTGAAGTAGGATTTCAAATTCAGGCTTTCCTGACTTCTGGTATAGTATTCCATCTACTTTGCCATAAGGCATCTCAGAGTCTGTAAAGATTTATTAAGCACCTACTATGTGCCAGTCACTGTACTAAGTGCCAGGGATACAAAAATGCTATAAGACAGTGCCTGCCCTCAAGGAGCTCACAATCTGATGGAGAAAGACAACATAGAAAAATTTATGAGAGATCACATTTCTTTGTAACCATAGGGTGAAATTTCAGAGAAAGATATTATCAAAAGGGATTTGCATGAAGTCATACACAGCCAAAGCAGTCCATTTTACCACCCACAGCTCTTTATTCATATAGAGTATGTCTACACAGCCCAAAGAATTTCAATAGGCTACTAATTCTCTGCCTCACATAATCAGAATAAATTTTTGTTGTTCAGTCCTTTTTAGCTGTGTCCTGTCTTCAAGACACCATCTGTGGTTTTCTTAGCAGAGATACTGGAATGGTTTGCCATTTCCCTCCCCAGCTCATTATACATATGAGGAAACTGAGGCAAACAGGGTTAAGTGACTTATCCAAGGTCCAAGAGCTAGTAAGTGGGACTGGATTTAACTCATGAAGATTAGTCTTTTGGATTCCAAGCCTAGAGTTCTATCCACTGCACCACCTAGCTGCTTCCTCAAAAAAGGTAGCCATACAAAACTTCAAGTTGGTCATCATCCCCTTTGGGGAATTCTAAAATTTGTGCATTTGTGGTGAGCAGATGAGCTCCTTACTAATTTATATTCTCTGTGGTTTGGTGCCTTATCACTGGCCCTAGAGTCAGGAAGACCTGGCTCAAAATCCAACCCCTGACACTTGTGATGTGGCTA